ACTTCGTTGTTACCCTCCAACAAAATGCTGCATTTCTCGTAAAACCAGGTCATTTACTAGGCTGTTCTGGCATGGAACTTACGAGGATTTTATTAGAACGTTACAGATCATCTTTTTGCCATATCGTTTGCTTTTAGGGATTTTATTAATATTATTGTTATTTACATGAGCACCAGCAGCTATTCTGCATTTCGGGTCCCACAGCGAAATTGCCGTAGCCTTTTAGTGCCCGTTTTACTGCAGAATGCACACAGGAACTAAAAGCTTTCGAAATTATGGCCGAAAGTTCGCCATAACATGCCTCGATGGCGCACTAAAAGTTGTTGAATTTCAAAGAATTTATTCAGATTAAACAACACCCACGCATTTACAATCAAAAACGATAAACGTCCCGGACAATTGGCTTTTTACGACGTTCGCTTGTTGTTGCAAGATAAAACTATGGAACGAAAAACGAAATTGCTAAACTTTCCAAACGAAATCGCTTTGTTTGCCACTTTTTGGCCGGTTTTTAGCCCTCTAACTAGACAAAGTCACAGATATTATAGGGGAAAAGATACTCACCCCGCATCCTGTGCTTCGTGCGCTCTAATTATCGACAGGAGATTATTGTTTTGTAGGAAGTCGCAACATGCGGCATAGCTGAAAATAACAACAAAAAGCTTCCTTAAGGGTTGAGTTTTAAATGGGCAAGAGGGCCGTTACCTGTAAAAATATGAGCAGCCTCTAACGGAGTTGTGTGAAAAATGTTCTGCGTTGTTCTCGTTGCCGAAGTCTTCTAACGGATCGGACCAGAGCAGGTCGCACATGGGTCCGAAGGCGGGAGGTTCTTTAAATCGATCTAACTGCAACAAAACGATCAAAAATTAGCGAACATTTTATGCGGAGAAAAATGTTCAGCGACAAGCGCTAAAGCGGGCTCGATAAGAAACGTGGCCCACAACCCGCCAGAAAAAAATTAGGCAATAAATTATCTCTAAGCCCTAAGTGTAGAGTCAGCCATTAGGAAATAACGAGCGATATAAAATATTCGCAGATGCAAAACGCGATGAAACAGCGGCGCGAATTTCGCCAGTAAAGAGTGAAGTTGTGTTGAGGGTGCATATAATGAAAAGAAAATATATGGATTTAACACACCCGTATTTATATTTACCATTCAGTCGCTTCCAGCGATCTAGTAAAAAAACAAATTTAGAAGAAAAGCATGAAACCGAGCATCTGTTGAAGATTTTAATTAATTTTGATTCATTCTCCTGACTGCGAGTAATTGTTATTATATTCGTTTTTTATATCGTTTATTTCATAACGTTTCGGCGAGACGACAGCGCCATCATCGGATCATTCTTTTAGGTCTTTGCTGTCTTGAAACCGCAAATTTGTTCGAATTATTGTCTGCGTAGACAATAAATTATTCACAACGACGAAGGTGGCGAGTTTTCCAAATAATTGTTTATTAACTTTCGCTTGTTCTGTTCGGGGAAATATTTTTGGAAAAACCCAGAAAAAACTATTAGGGTTTTGTCCCAAATTTGAGGCCGCAAAAGGTTTTTGACACATTTTTACAAAGCGCTTAAGGAGGCGATTGTTTAGTGATAAAATTTATTGAATAATTTTTCACAGAAAATGCCCGAAGATTATCAGTATTTTTATGTAAAACTAGAAAAAAATGCGTTTCTTGCGTAGAGAAAATTGCTTAAAAAAACTTTGCTAAAGTTGGAGGCCTGAAATTTTAAATAAACTTTAATCTTTAAAGCCATCAGGGTTTCGAATTTTCCAATTGGTTTTTTGTAAACTTTTGCTCTCGTTTCTCTGGTCGTTTTTCAAGACAATCTCAATTACTTTCAGTAAAAAAATAATTAAAATTATTTGGTTTTTGTGGCAAA